AAACGCGCTCCTGGAAAACGTGAATTTTGAAGCCACCGTTATAAATTGGGCGCGCGATTCTATCGTCTTTGTGGCGAGGCCACGCCGTCCAAGGTACGCGCAACGGGGCAACACCTCGCGATCCAGAGGTTGCGTAACGATGCCATTGGAAAGAAAACCCTCAGATCTGAACTACACTCCCGCGCACGGATATTTGACTACAAGTCAGACGGGGTTATGGGAAACAAAAAGAAATCATCAGGAAATATCGAATGCACTCACATGTACTGTGAGAAATAAGGAGAATGTTCTATGGAGCAAATAAACTCCTGAAGAACAAACTTACATGCAAACAAAAGAATGAAAAAGCCAAATTCCAATACAACAGAAAGGACCAATTCACCCTTGAAGTTAGGATCGTGTTGCTGCACGCGACAAGAGGTATGGAACTCCGGAGGAAGAAAATGTGAGCTCGATAATCTCGTGAAATAACGAAAGTGCCAGAGCTCGCTTCGCGAAAGGAACAGAGTGGGCGCAGAATAAGGCGTTTGTAATTTGGCTATCTCGAGCGCGAAGGGTGTGTGAAATTCTTCCCGAAAAACGTGTAGCGCACGCTGCAATTGGTCGCACGCTTCGCTTCGGAGGGAATTTTTCGAATTCCCGGTGGAGTGACAATTAGCCGCCGCGGAACCACTGACGCTTGACTTGGGGATTTGGCGAGAAGCATAGCCACGCAACGCGACATCTGCGACCTAGTTTCATCGACGATAGAATCGAACGTCTCCCATATTAAAAAAGCTCACTCTATGACGAACGGGCTCCTTACCTGGAATACATTCGACCATGCGGCCATGTAATACGGATTTACATGATACACCCGTCCTGTCTTCGCCCGTATCGCTGAGAAAAACAGATCCGATTGCCGTTGGAACATCTCCAAATCCAGAGGAGGCTCAGCTATTTCCTAAACATCCTGGTTAGGAAGATGATCAGCCAGCAAAACACTTCCACTTAAAAATTAACCTCAGGAGCAGGAGCACCGTGTAGCCGTTCCAGTAGAAGCACTTTGACCCTATCGCTTAAAGCATAATATCGAGATCCGGTCAAATCAATTTTACTATTCGGTCGCATTTCCCGAAGACATAGAATCAATAATCGATTCAATTTGTACCTAAAATATAAAAACCCCATCCAAGCAGGAATAATCAGCTAANATATAGAAAACCGATTGAGTGAAATCTCAGTGCTAACTTACCTATCAGCTATCCAAACTTTTTCTAGAAAGGGTAGGTTGTGATTTACAAGGAAGCACTCGCATCGGTGAAGAAGGCCATCCATCTGAAACAAGTACTAAATGGAAAGTAGTCATTACTTAATGAGCATGTCACAGACAAACTTATGGTCAGAGGACTGGATTCCGAACCAATTCCCCTTCGGATTTACCAAGTTTCCCGTTTAATTGAAGGTTCTACAGCAGCCAAAGTTCTGCTCCACTTGTTTCTAAAGAATCAAGAGGCATTGCATACGGTTCTCGATGACGGATCAAAGGGCAGGATTTAAGTGGACAAGGCAATACACAGATTAAAGATCTGATACATAGAAGTTTTTCTAATGGAGACCTCTTACTCAAATGATTAAGGTGATCCTACTCGTTCCGACCAATATAGCTCATTCCTTTTGTTGCCATGCAAGACAGTTACTCCGACAATGGCACTCACCGGTTTGTGCCACTCTGACTGGCACAGTGGGCATCGGCACCCAATTTTGATTGCAACCATACTATCTTGCTCCTTACGAATTGCTTAATTCAGTAAGCCAGTAAGTCAGTAGCCAGAAAAAATGTTATCCTGGGACAGTGCCACCCACCGGTGGGTAACAGTCGCGCGCGTAATGAGGGGATCCTGGTCCCATGGGTGTGTCACGTCGAAATCCGCATTGTCGTCAAAGGGTTAAACGGTTATGAAGTCGTCGTCAGTATATATCAAAGGACATTTCCCTCAACTTCCTCCTATGTCCTTCCTCTTATCCCCCTACCCCTAAAGATCTCATATGAGTGCTCTAAACACGAAGGGCAGCCTTTTATGATCACATTTTAGATACTGTCCTTTTTATTGCTAGGGGCCGTCACTCAATTCATCAGCTATTCTTTCGAAGCGAATGCTTCAACCTGACAGCGAACGCCGTTAGCGAACTCCATAAGCTGACAGCCAAGCTCGAGTTACATAAAAGGCTAATAAAGCGAGGTCGTTCGATTGGTAATTAAGACCTAATTTAGTCAACGATAAGAGCAAGCATACGGTAAACAAAGGAACTTTGAAGAAAACAATCAATGCAAATTTATTCGAGCATAGAAAAATTCTGATAAATGTTGGACTCGAATATATGCTGAGATTATCGCCCCGATACGTTAAACTTGCCATCAGCTGTAGCTTTCTGAATAAATGATCAGTTCGGTTGGTTATTGGGTTTATTTATTCGTGCGCCTAAGTCAAAAAGCAACGTCTAAGTATTTTTTATTCGAAAAAGAAGTGGTAATTGGGCTATGAAATAAAATAAAATAAAATGATAACTGAGCTGTAAGAAAGAGTGAGTCGTGTAAGTTACTCAGACATAAAATCTTGACAGTTATTGGATATGAAGTATGCAGAGGTTGAATATAATGTATTTAGTAATTTGATAGCAAAATGTAATAGCTGATATAATATAATAACCTAATATAAAAGAAATAGCGTGGATGTAATCCAGCTGACTAACCTGATAATCGTAAGCCAGCGGTAGCAAGATGTGCACCGATTGGTCATCGACGGATTTATAAGTGGGATGAATGCATTCAAGCATTTCAACAACATGATCGTACTGTACATTTGCCAATATCAGCTCCCTATCGGGACATTCCACACACCACGCCCTGAAAACATAAATAGGGTGTCTCCAACTGAAACATGGGTTGACCACACTGCAGAGTTTTTTTGATACTCATGAATATATAGGGCCAAGCATATGATGACCCTATCTATGCATGGACCCGACGAGAAGGAAAGGGAAAGGGGAGGTGCAATGGGCTGACGAGCCGGCGAACGTGATAGGAGTCTCTATCGATGTTGCGAATGAGGAAAAGCTGAAGTGATAAACTAAGGAATAAAAGGATGGAAAGGATCGTAGGGACCTGTTAAGGTTAGGGCTCGCATATGGGAAGCAGACTTCATTACTAAAACGGGGTTTTTTGTTGGGGAGGAGGAAGGACAAGTCGTAATGGTGGTTTCTCTCGACATTGTGCATGACCCTATCCGAGCGAATAACTGGGTAACAGGTACTTCAGTCATCAGGATCTTTTTCATCTCGGGTAGACTAAGCGATCCCTTCACAAATAATACATGATTTTGGTTAATATAAAAGGAAATTGGTGATGTGGGCAATGAAATAAATTTGGTTAGGTCGCTATATCCATGACTGGTTATCACTCCTTACCTTAACACCGGTGACCATACCGATATGTAATGTTCATCAACATACAACCGCTTGTTCTCTACCAGTAATGGACGTGTACGTTGACCATCAGGACGGGTAAAATCGATGGTAACGTCGATTGAGGGACCAGCCGGTCCCTCTACCGGTGTACGTGGACGTGGCGTTGCAAACACGGCGAATCGATTCCTGCAAAAGCACGAACGAAATTGAAAAGAGGGGGACTCCCTGGTTCAGTGGAATGACATCGGCGAAGGAAATACGGATAATGGACAGGAAATGAAAACGAACAGCAGTCAATTTCCTTGTGTATACTTTAGGCATATCAATCGGGATCAAAAAAGAAAAGAAAAGTCTGGAAACGATGCTTGGATACGCTGAAAGCACTAATATCTGCTAATAATTTAGTTAAGAACTGTCCCATTCATCATCACAGAATAGCTACTGCTTGATTAGATCAATTTATTAGTTTCATCAGAAGGGTGTTCTTATAGTACCCTCCTCTATTAGTCGTAAAGTCGGAAGAAATTACCTGGAACGGTCTTGTGACTACGACTGTGTGTCACAGACAAATTACTAAAAAACACCAAACAGGCCCTGCTGCTCTTACAATTAGTAGAAAAATCTAATCTTGAAATCTAAGATCATACCATGTCTCCCTACAAAAGTTCCACTATCAAAAAAATTCTCCTCACAGCCCCAGCCCACGTAACAAGCCCCGCCCACCTCCCATTATCTTGAACAAGACGGCCACCTAATTTAGCCCTACTTTATGTTAGCAGCGAGGACTGATACAAGAAGGAATGCGTAAATTTGTAGACGTTCTTCCAACGCTGCAAAAAGTCTTCAAAAAGTGGATAACGGATATTTCTCAGAATGTTCTTCTGAATTCGGTTTTCAGGTAGATTTCGCTCAATCAATCTAAATGATACTGAATCTACTTACTAAATCTACTACTAGATGAGAAAGGCTCAGCTTTTACGTCATTAAAGCCTCCAAATTTTAGTGTATGTAGATTTTGAGTGAGCATGCCAAATCTGGGCGAAGGTGCAAGCACGGCGTATCTTAATGGAAAGGTCTTGAAGATTTTAGCACTAATGTTCTGGGCTGTTTAGCCTTAAAAAAATTTCAGTTCTGCGTGAAACAGCCCAGATCATTTGGGCTAATTTCTTTCAGACCTTTCCATTTGGATACGA